GGAGTTCAGTCCATTAATGTTTAAAGTTATTAATGAAAGATGAGTATTGAGTCCTGTCATTTTTTTTGTTTATATTCTTGCTATAGTTGTACTTTTACACTGTTATACTCTCCTTGGAGTTCTTTCTGCAACCCCTTGGGTATAGTCATTCCTTTCTTCAGCTCTTTGTATTGCTCCCAGAACTCTTTGAAGGGCTGGTTTTGTGGACAAGAATTCCTTCAGCCTATTTATGTCATGGAAGATTTTTCTTTCCGATCTGACTATAATAGACATTTTGGCTGGATATAGTAATCTGGGTTGGCATCTGTGGTCATTTAAAACTGGGAATACTTTGGTCCAGGCTCTTCTGGCTTTCATAGTTTGCACCGAAGAGTCAGCTGTAATCCTAATGGGTTTTTCTTTATATGTGACTTGCTTCTCTTTTGCAGCTTTCAGTATTGACTCTTTGTTTTGTAAGTTCAGTGTTTTTGCTATGATGCACCATGGAGAGTTTCATTATTTAAATTAAAATACACCACATTAAATAAATTCCAGTTTAACTAAAAATATAAATGAGCAAAATAAAATCATGTAAAATTACAAGAAATTGTATATACAATTCATAGGTGAAATCACTAAAGGAAATGCGCAGCAGTATGCAGGAGGCATCAATATTAAAATTACAACCATGGCCTTTTACCATTAATGGAGAATAAGAATATTTTAATCCCTCCACACACCCTCCTACAAGCCATGCACCTCTGGGGAGAAAACTAATTCACCTGTAGGCCCTACCTACCCCAGAGTAAAGGACTACCCCAGGTCTAATGTGCCAGTGAGAAATCAGGATCAGGGTGAGCAGCATTGGCAGGCACGCTTCACCAGAGCAATGAAGAATCTTCAAATAAAAAAGATAAAGAGGAAAAACTCATTACCACCCTCAGAGGTGAGTACTGCAGCAACCTCTTATTCTGAAAACTGGCCAGGTAAGAAAAAGAGTTAAATAAGCTTTAGCCTACCATTCCAGGAGGAGCTCTCGCTCTTCTGTGGCTGACAATGAAAACTCTATTCTTATGATAGAGGAATAGCAGCTTTGGGGCTGGAGAGATGGCTCAGAGGTGAAGAGCCTTTGCTGTTCTTCCAAAGGATTGGAGTTCAGTTCCCAGCACCCACATCAGATGACTCACAACCACCTGTAACTCTGCTCCAGGGGATCTGATGCCCTCTTCTGGTCTCCACAGGCATCTGCACACACTTAGCTTATACACACAGACATACATACACACACATAAATAAAAATAGATCTTTAAAAAATAGCAGCTTAAAATAAGGAAATAATGGTAGAATAAGAACATTACTATTTTGTTACCCCAGTTATATAAATGATCATCAGTGGGTACAAAAAGCAGTAGAGGAAAAGTTTAACAATACACTTACGCCAGCCAGGACATCATGGCAGAGGTAACTGGCTCACTGAGAGGGGAAAAGGCAAATCTGAAAGGCACCTCCCTAGCCGGGTGAATATACTTTGCATCTGTTAACCATAGATCAGCCTGACAGGATTTGTTCCTGGTATTGAAGTACAAAGTACCTAGAATCTTCTACAAACTGAATCTAGTATTTAAACCTAAACTTCCCACTTACAAAAAAATATGAGGAAGAAAATAAATATCACTGTGAGAAGAGCTAGAAAAATTCAGATGGCGGGATAGTCTTCAAGAACGTAGATCTGGTCTCACAAAAAGCCAACATGGGGCCAGGTATAATGGCTCATGCCTTTAATCCCAGCACTTGGGAGGCAGAGGCAGGCGGATCTCTGTGAATTCAAGGCCAGCCTGGTCTACATAGCAAGTTCCAGGCCAGCTGGGGCTACAGGGGAGACCCTGTGTCAAAAACAAAACAAAACAAAAGAAAGTCAACATGATTATAAATACATGGGAAGAATGAGGTTAAAATATAAACTAGAAATGTAGTAACAAGGTGCAATATGATTATCTATAATAGATCACCACTAGGGAACACATGATTATAAAAGTACTTGCATAAGAGAAGTAGGACACTGTTAATATGCACTTATGTACTGTGTGGTATTCTAGAATTGTGGCTCCCTTTCTGGGATGTGTTGATTCTATTGTGGCAGTATAGGAGAAGGGAAGTCCTTGTTCTCAGGAGACTTAGGCTGCAGCATTTAGAAGCAGATTGTTGACTTGACAGGATCTAGAACCATTAAAGAAACAAGCCTCTGAGCATGTCTGTGAGGAATTTTCTAGATGGGCTTAAGTGAGATGGAAAGACTGACCCTAAATGTGGACATCACCATTCTATTGTCTGGGAGATCCTGAACTGAATAAAAAAGAAAAAGCTGAGTTCTCTCTCTCTCTCTCTCTCTCTCTCTCTCTCTCTCTCTCTCTGAGAGAGAGAGAGAGAGAGCCTCCCCTCCACTCCCCTCCCCTTCCTGAGTAGGGGTACAATATGACCAGCTTCCTTGTGTTCCTGCCTCCGTGAACCGTACGAAACTGTGAACCAACATAAATCCTTTCTTTGTTTTGTCACAGCAATGCACGATGCAGTCCCCATCTGCAGCTAACATGCAAAGGGTTCTGAAGAAAGAGATAAAGATGATTAAGGGTTACCAATGTTAAAGTTATACTTGTAATAAGCATTCAATTTTGAAAGCCTTCTAATATTAAAAGGTTAAATGAAAAATAAATAACAAAAATAGAAAAAATGAATCAACAAGCATGAAAATTGTGAGGCTGGAGAGATGGATCAGTGGTTAAGAGCACTGGCTGCTCCTGCAGAAGACACAGGTTTGGTTCCCAGCACCTACATGGCAGCTCACAATTGCCTGTAATTCCAGTTCCAGGGGATCTGATACATTCTTCTGACCTCCATGGGCACCTGTACACACATGGTACACATCTAAACACTCAGGCATACACATAAAATATTTTAAAGCATGACTATTACACTAACAAACTAGGAACTCCTTATTAAATATGGCTGATTAAATACACCTGCTTGTGTCTACTCCTTCCCCAAATGGTAAGAGATTCTTTTTAATGCATAAGTCCCAAGAACGTGAGAGGTGGCCAGACTAACTGGCCCAGGAAGTGTCAGGAGAGTTGAATACTCAACTGGTTATGATGGGACCCTGTCAGGAGCTGGAACTCATTCCACACACTCCCTGTCAGCCTCAAGCTTGCCCCAGGGTTTCTGTCTCCTCCTCAGAGAACAGAGTGCCCAGGGAAACACTGGTCTTGTCGCTCATGCATGAGGCAGGTCCTACTCTGCCCCAATGGCCAGCACCTGCTGCCCATTGCCCAGACTGCAGACATGCTGTAGGCATCTCTGTCTTTGCTCTGTGCCATAAGATTTAAGAACTTATGCTTATTTTCAATTAAGGTTCAAGAGGAACAGCCTGTGTCATCTAAGGGAAGCAAACAGAAATTGAAAGAAAAACCAGAACAAGTCCGTGAGACTCGGAAGGAAAAACGTCGTGCAGCCTACAGCAGGAAGGGCCTCTCTGGGGGAACTTCAGGAACCATTGTCACGATGTCTGACTTCAACCAGAACAACTTCGATGGGGAGAACTCCCAGGAAAAGTTCATCAGGTAAGCCTTACAGCATTCAGGGAGAGGGAGGCTGAAGCGGAGAATGGAAGCACAAATGTCACAACACCAGAGGGATGCAGGAATGTCCTCCCTGTGTGTGGGGGTAGGTGGGGGGGGGGGTTATGGCCTGCCATGCCTAATCTCAGCAGTGGAGGACCTGTACCAGATAGCTCTCTTGTCCCCTCTTGACCAGAAACACTGTTTAAAGGCCTGTGTGATCATTTTAGGCTGACTCACTTTCGGTGGATTGTGCCTCCCAATGGAGAGGTGACCTTGCAAATCCATTTCTCTTCTACTGACCTTGGGAACTATGACCAAACCTTTAACTTTGAGCTCCTCGGAACTCGCCGCCAGTACCAGCTCTATTGCCGAGGGGTCTGCACTTACCCGTACATCTGCCAAGACCCAAAGTAAGTGAATTTTACTTTAAAAGAAAAGGTTGAAAAGGTATGTTTTAGAGTTTCCCCTGTGGTACTTTGAGTAAGGTAGATTTAAATAATATCTTGGGGACCAGTGAAATGGATCAGCAGGTAAAGGTGCTTGTTACTAAGTCTGCCTACATGAGTTCTATCCCCACCTCCAGGACCCACATGATAGAAGGAAGGGCTAGATCCCCCAAATTGTCCTCTGGCCTCTGCATGTGTACCACACACATACACACAGTACATACATACATACATACATACATACATACATACATATTATAATAATGCCATTGAATTGGAAACTCATCCTAGACTCTCTTGTATCAGACCTGAGTGTCTCAGACCTTGAATAAGCTCCACAAAGATGACATGGTACCAGGAGGCATTCCCAAACTGAGCAAGAAAAATAGGAAGATTTATGAAGAGGAAGAAAATTAAGTCATCTTCCAGCAACTTATTTTGCTTATTTAGTTAGCAAATTTAAGCTAGTTCCACTTATGCTCTAGGTCTTGTCATCCTATGAAATGAGCACATGTGACCCTCCATAGGAAGCTTCTCTCTGAGCCACGAATACCACTGTGCCATTTAGGCATCACATAAAGGTACCTGGCTGAGCAAGCTAGCAGGGTGCCTCCCTACCAGAAGGAGGGGCGGCCTTCTATAGCACATCCATTCTAAGAGGATCTTTTTTGAAATTCTCACCAAAGAGTCCCATTTTATTAAGAAATTCAGAAGCTGATTAATAACCACCAGAATTATTTAATAGTTTTCCATAGAGATTCTTGGAGATTTTTATATCTGGGTGTACTAGAACAGAAATTCCAGATCATCTCTAGGAATCTTTTTTCTCAATTCCAAACCTTCCTATCTTCTCTTGGAAAGTAGGATTCAACAGAGGACTTCAACTTAACAGTCACTGTCTTCAGACACCTGGATCCTTCACTGAACAGGAAGTTCTAGGTTTGTGCCCACATCATGCGGTAGCGTTGAGCCTCCATTTGGGTATCTTCATCTTTGCCTCTTTCTCCCCTGTGCTCAGAGTGGTATTTCCTCAGAGGAAGAAGGACATAAAGCCAAATGAAGTCGTCTTTAAGAAGTATATCATGAGCACGGAGAAGTTTTACTTCGGGCCACTGCTTTGTGGGAAATCAAGAGATAAGTAAGTGTTACATGATTTCAAAGTAGATTTCAGATTTCCAGGTTCACAAATAGAACAAGTAGAGCTTTTATGTAGGCATACCTTTTACTGATGCTGCCCCATTTTGTCCCAAACCCCAAATCAAGAGAACTGGGTTCTTGTTTCCCAAGTTTCTACTTTACGCCCAGATGAATCATATACTATTTTCCCCAGTGGGAAAACCTAGAAAAAGGACCAGGCTTTGGATGGGTGGAATGTAACAGCTCACTTTGGGATATGTCAAGGCCAAGATGCTTGGAAGGTATCTTTAGAGATCACATAAAGCAGAGAATAGGACATATGGTGCAGGTTTTCAAGGAGAGTTCTGCCTTCAAGACAGCAAAATCCATGGGCATGGATAAGATGGCCTAAGAAGGCTGCATGCAGCAAGAAGAAAGGAATCGAGGATGATGCCACAAAGAAGCCCTCCATCTGCAAGAGGACTCTACAGTAGACACCAGAAAGAGGGCCAGAGTTCCCAGGAAAACCAGGGAAGGGGGTATCATGGCTGCTTAAGAAGAATATAGGATCAGCTACATTGAACGCTGCATAGAAGGCAGACAGATGAGGGTGAAGCCATCCACTGGGTTCAGAAACTTGCCTTAGCAAGAGTCCTTTGGGGAAAACTCTGGAAGTGATGCCCAGTAGGAGGGGAAACAGTCCATACAGATGTGAAAATAACTCTTCTTTGGAAAGTTTGGTCTTGAAGGGAGATGATAGGAGAGAACCAATGATGGGAGGGAAATGTGAATCTAGGGAAGGCTGATTGAACACTTCTGTTTTCATAACGTCTGTAGGACAAGGGGAAGCGGGAAAGGGAGAGAGTAAGGGCCATCAGTGGCATAGCTCCCTGGGACAACACATGTGGGATGCTTCCTTTGCCAGGAGGAAACACTGTCTTATATCAGGAGGAAGAAAAGTGAGGTGACTTTAGGTAAAGATGGAATTACAGATAGAAGATAATTAATGATGCAGCTCTGCTTGTTTCTCCATGAAAAGTGATATGAGATCATCTTTCTGGGAGAAAGTGAAGAAAGTTTAAAATACTGAGAAAATGGAGATGATATACAGAACTTTTTTGTGGATAAACGGGGAGTTGGCTAGTGATATAGCTCAGTTGGTAGAGTACTTACCTAATTAGCCTTGGGTTCAATCCCCAAAACTACATAAACCAGATGTGGTGGTGTATGGCCTTAATCCCAGCACTTCGGAAGTAGAGGCAGGAAGATCCAGAATGCAAAGCCATGCTTGGCTACATACCGAGTTCAAACCAGAGAGGTAGGAAGGGGAGGGGAGCATGTGAAAGGAACAGATGAAGAGTACCAGCAGGGAAGCAAAATTGAGATCCCAGACGAGGCTGATGATCGTAATTTTCATGACACTAGTTTTCTACCGTTATAAAATTTTTTATTGCCTAGGTAGAGAGGTGAGTTTGGAAAAGAACCAAGGTTTCCACTAGGCCTTCATCCAATCCAGCACTTACTGTGATACGAGTGTCTACTTTGTGCTCCCTTGTCACCTTTGTCCCCCACTCCCTCATCACCTCCAGTGTATCTCCTGAGGAGCTGGGCTAGAAAGTGAAGGTGAAAATGCTGATGATGGAGAGGACCTCTGTGACCCCACAGAAGGACTTAGGAGGGAGAAGGAGGAATAGTCACGATGACAGACGTGACATGCAAAGAAAGTTCAGGAGTGGGAATCAGAGCAATGTTGTCTCTTCAGAGAAGTGTGAATTTGGGACACCAGTGGAATTAATGGCTATGATCATCATAGTTCAAAGCAAGACCCAGTGCAGATGGGTGTATTCAGTTATGTTACACCTTGATGAGCTTTGTCCACCAAAAGAATGGGAAGATAACAGTGCCCACCTCACAGACCTGTGAGGACTAATGCTAACACACACGAACCCTTTAGCATCACCTGAATGGTGGCACTGATTGGTGAGATGGTGAGGTCTCCCCTTTCCCACGTATTCACACAGAATTGTCTGACTCTGATATTCTGGTTTGGAGTCTTTCGTTCTATTCACCATCACAGCCTGCTCCAAGCTCCTCTCAGATTGTCTCTGCTCTCCTGGCCTGGGCTATGATCACTGATGATGCGTATCTCTGAATTCCTTCAGCCTTTGTGGTTCCTTTTCTGCTCACTACGATTAACTGAACATCTTCCTGTGGTCTTGGTGGTTAACTCTGCCGAAAAACATCAGGGAAAAGGCAACTTAGTCATATGAACAAAGCCAGATACATCCATGTCAGAGCAGGAACATTCCATGAGGGTATGGTAGAAGAAGGTGAATGATACCATCTCTGATAGAGATGTCAAATACGGGTGACTCAAATGACAATATCTCTGGGGAATACATGCATGTATAAGAATGGACAGGCACTTTTCTCAAAGTTCACTGTACTAAGAATAGTTACCCTTTATTGGGCATTTGATATCTCCAGTTGTTCTAAGGCCTTCAAGTGTACAATCTCACTCAATACCAAGCAACCCTAAGAGAAACTGTCACTCCATCTTAGAGTTAAGAAGACCAAGATTTCAGGGTCAGGTCACAATGTAGTGTCCTTAGAGGCAAGTGAACAACCACAAATCTTAGCCAATGCCTAAGCAGAGCCAGCGCTACCCTTTCAAATGGCCTTGCACCTTAACAGACCCCTTTCCACCTGAATTCTCATTCTGTCCTCAAAATCACATCGCTGTTCCCATTCATTTCCAGGTACAAATCATCCTTGTTTCCAGGCAACATGGAGATGCTGACGATCCTGAACAATTCTCCAATGGTGGTGGAGGCGTACTTCTGCTTCCAGAATGATGTGAAAGCAAGCACCTACTTTCTAGAGCCCATCAACATGATTCTGAAGCCCAATGAAAAGCAGGTACAATATCAGGGGAAAAGTCCATTGGGTGAGACCTTCTTGGGAAATCTAAGACCTGGCATCCTCGATGTAAATAGACCATTTAAAAATAATAATAATATTTTAATTAATTCTTTGAGAAATTCATTCAATGCATTTTGATCATATTCACTCCCCCATCTCCTCGTAGATCCACTCCCACCTCCCTATGCACCCAACTTCATGTCTTCTTTTTATAAAGCACAAGTCCTATTTGTGTTGTTCAAATACTCATGGTTGTAGGTCCATCAACCTACCTGGCATCACACCCTTAAAAAACCTGACTCTTCCTCTCAAAGCAGTTGTCAATTGCCAGTAGCTCCTCCACTAGGGATGGGGCATCTTACCCACCTCCCCACTCCATGCTGAGATTTTGTCTGGCTTGAGCTTGTACAAGTCTTGTGCATGCTGTTGCATCTACTATGAGTTCATATGTGCAACTGCCATTTTGTGTCTAGAAAACTTTCATTGTAGTCATCCACTGCCTCTGGCTCTTACAGTCTTTCCGCCCCCTCTTCTGTGATGGTCCCTGAGCCTTGTGGGGAGTGGTGTGATATAGGTGTTCCATTTAGGACTGAGTACTCCCCAATCTCTTATGATCTTCATGTTGATCAGTTGTGGGTCTCTGTGTTAGTCCCATCTACTGAAAATGCAAGCTTTTTGATGAGGGTTGAGATGCACTAATGTATAACAATAAGTCATTAGAAGTCAATTTAATAATATGTTCCTTTATAAGAATAATAGTAGTGGGTTCTCTCCTAGGGTCTATGACCTATCGAACTTTCATTTAACACTTCCATTAGATACTAAATGTATGGGCCTACCCTACTGCCATTGGTATCTTTGAAGACAGCGTCATCTGCTGCATCAAGGAGAATCCAGAGCCAGCCATCTTCAAATTAAACTGCCAAGGGATTCGCCCAGAAATTGAGCTGGAACCCAGGCAAATACATTTTGACCGACTCTTGCTGCACAGGTAGGAGTTCTAGATGTTGCTGAACAGCAATGGAGCTTAATGAATATTTAGTTCTAGGGTAGTTAACTCATTCTGATTACTCTGGACTATTGGGATTTTGTTACTGGTTTGTTGAGAGAGAGAGAGAGAGAGAGAGAGAGAGAACGATGCTAGAGATTGAACTTACTAAAGCAAGAAAATAAAAATGAAGTATTATATATTTATCCATGTTTTATTTTTAATATGCTTTCTTTTCTGGTGGAATTTGTTTTGGGTTTTTTTTTTTGGTCTTTTTGAAACAGGGTCTCCCTGTAGCCCAAGCTTTCCTGGAACTCACTATGTAGACCAGGCTGGCCTTGAACTCACAGAGATCCACCTGCCTCTGCCTCCCAAGTGCTGGGATTAAAGGTGTGCACCACCATGCCTGGATGGTGGAATTTTTATTAACTTTTACAAAATCTTTATTGAGAATTTCATACATACATATAAGGTGTTTTGA